CTTCTTCCTTTCGAACAAGTTTTAAGTTTGCATTTTTATTAGTGTTTGATGGATTTATGGTTCTTGAATAGTTCACAAGACCTACATCTTAGAGAGAATCAGAAAGATTCATTTATTTTAATTTTTGAGGCTAGCTTCGAGATTTGATCGAAAGGGATAGACAAGGAGGTTGTTGGGCCAAAAGAAATGGAGGTGAAAAAGATTAATTCCTCAAAGTCCACGTCAGATTTAGCTTATTTGACAAATTAAAGTGCTTTTAATCCACATCATTGCCACATGTTAAAAAGCGGTTTCTATAATTGTACAATCATATTTCCGGTTAGCCAGGTCACCTCCAGACACTCAATTGCAAGTGTTAAAACATTCAAGCATTCAATCGTTTCTATTTTTCATTCAGACACTAAAATAGAAAAAAAAAATGAAACGTTGAGCGATCATTATCCCGATTCAACATCGACAAAGATTCAACCTGTATTTTTCTCCAACATTAGAAATGCAAATTAAACACGGATGTAAAATATTTAGAAACATATATAGAAACAGACTACAAATGAACTTAGGGATGAAAAGGAATCAAATTGGAAATAAAATTCATTCCCAAAGAGGTCAAAAATTAGAAACGAATTTATTGGATATCCATCATCATATTAGAAACGGATATAATATCTGCTTAGAATGCTTCAAGTTGTCACGGATAAATTCCATTTTCCGATCCGTTTCTAAAAAATATTTAGCAACCGATTTAGACATGTTGCCATTTCAGTATTTTCTTATAGTATTATAGTTATAACTAAAAATATATTTTTTAAGTAAAAGCCTTAAATTATAACTAATTAGTAGATTAAAAAGTGATTAATTAAAAACTAGTAATTAATTGTATTTACATCAATAAATAATTTATCATGCCTTTAAAATCAAATATGTTGATTGATTTTCATTCAAAAACAAAATATGCTAACTAATTTTAAAATTTATTCTAATCCAATAAGTGTAATCTTGATTGACTGCTTTAATTAACTATATAATATTTTATTATGGTGTCACGTATAATATTTTTTTTTTTTTTAAACAAAACTGATAGAACTTATGAATTATTGTAGAAAACAAAAGCAAAATAATCTAATCATTATATATATACACACATATATTCATGGAGTGTTTTTTGGTTGCTGATGTGACACATCATTTGGAGAGTAAAACTCTCTAAAATTTCAGTGTGCATTTATTCACAGAAAATATTTTTTTTTCTAAGAAAACAATTTTGTTAGAAATGAAAATCGGAAATCAAAAAATGGAAAATGCTTTCACTTGGTAACAATATAAAACTCATATTTTAATTTAAAAACTTCACAAACATTATCATAACTTTCATAATTAAAATAAAATATTATAAATTAACTTAAAAACTTTTTTATTTAAAATTTTTATTATCAATTATTTATAACGAGAAGCGGAGTGTGAGTGGCGAGGTAAGGCTGTGGGCGGGAGTGAAGTAAGAATTGAAGAGTGAGGGTGTGGTTTGTTATTAAAGGGGTGGGAAGCTGTGAGATGATAGGAGCGTTTTGATTAGAAAGTTGTGTGTGATGTGTGTGAGTCATTACTATAATAATTAATAATAATATAATAATAATAATAATAATAATAATAAGATAATAATATGCAATTTTTTTAATTCATTTTGTTAATATATTTTATTATTTTTTAAAAATAAATAAAGATATAATATACCTATAATAACAAAATTAATTATAATATTAAAGATAATAAATTTTTTATATTTAAATATTTTGATTATCCAATAAAAATATTCTTATAGAAAAAATTTATAGACATTACTGCTAAACACCTAAAATTTATTTAAGTTAATTCAATTATTAACATAATTATTTAATAGCCAATTAATATTATTAGTTAATTAATTAATAATGTATTTTTAATAAACCAATCCAAAAATATTTAAATGGTTATTAAAATAAAATTATTAGATAACATTATTTTACTGTATAAATCAAATGAATCAAAATATTTAAATGGTTATTAAAATAAAATTATTAGATAAACATTATTTACTGTATAAATAAATAATGTAGTAAAATCCAATAAAAATGGGCCAAGTGGATCAATTAAATTAAATCTTAGTTAATAAGTCAAGCGTCTACATAAGCTAAATGATGCACAGCAGCCAATGAGAGCTTGCTAAGTGGACCAATCAAATTACATACTTGGCAAGGGGACTCCCTCATATCTCTATAAATAGGAGGTATTTCTTCACATACGGGATACACAGACATATAGAAAGAAATGCAGAAAAGAAACCTCAAAACTTTGTCAAACTCAAGCTACAAAAAGTCTCTCCCAAGTCCAAAAAATCAAAGTTATTTCAACTTCAATTCAAGATCAAGTCTCATTGACCCTTGAATCGCCCAAATCTCGTTCAACTTCAATTCAACATCAAGTTTTTTCGGCCGTTGAATCGTATTCAAGATTAAGTCGTTTCGACCCTTGAATCGTCTCCGCGACAACAAAAAAAGAATCAGAGGATAATCTTCTTTGTAATAAGAGATTCCACATTAAAGATTGTATTCACTTATTATCATAAATTCAATTGTTATTTTTGTATTTTTGTTTCTTAATTTTCGGGAACAAATTTTACTCATGCAATTATAACTTCAATAATGAAATGTCATTTTATAAAATGAAAAACAGTTGGAAAACATATCTTTTGTTACAGAGGAAAGTTTTGGAAAACAACTTAAAGTTGTTTTTCAAACCTTAGTTAATGTTTTCTAGTTTTTCAAATAAAAAGCTAACTGATTTGAACATAAAACTCTGTTTTCCAGTTTTGTTGGAAAATTTGTAGAAAACTACTCCAGTTTTCTATAAATAAATACACTCTCAGCATTCCATTTTTACTTGAGAAAATTTTACCTTTTAAATATTTGAAAGATAATTATCTACTTTTAATATTTTACTTACAATTTAATTATTTATTGCTTTTTGTTGACCACTGTATCTTCCTTAAATGTTTCACATTTAATAATCATTATTACAATTATTCACCTTTTTAAAAAATTCCTTAAACGTTTAAATTCAACCCAATCATCACTCAACTCTGGATTAAAAAAAAAAAAAGAAACTGTTTATATTCTAGAAATCAACCGAAATAGAAATCGAGTAAAGTTCTAGTTAATTGCCAAATCTGACCCGTGCCATTTAATGAGAAAACAATATACTGCGGGTTAGGTTAAATTTGCTTTTTATAAAACGTTAACCGCTGTAACGTTTAGCGTTTTATAAAAATTAATTAAATTTTTTTAACAATCATTTTTTTTTTGAATTCAACTAATTCATTTTTTGTCATTTAAGTTAAATAACTAATTAAATAATTAGTTTTACAGTACTTCTAATTTAAACCGTTATATAAATAGCTAACAGCTAGTAGAATAACTAAGGCCCTAATTGGCAATTTTAGTGGTTCTAGTAGCTATTAGTTCTTGTAATAACAATTTTAGTGGTTTCATAATAACATCATGATATATAGAAATAATAAATGACAATCAACAATTACATGGTAAAAATATTTTAATGAGAATTATTGATTCATAATAACATCATGATATATATATTCAGTATTCTATTTTTCTTTTTGCACCAAAAGAGGCCAAAATATATATATATATATATATATATATTCAGTATTCTATTTTTCTTTTTTAAGGAATTTTTTTAAATCTTTTTTCTTATTTTTCTATATTTTGATGGGTGCTTTTTAAGTTTAAAAAATTAAAAACTAATAATAAATATTTGGAAGTGTTATATTCATATTAGAATTCTATTTGAAAGCTAAATTTAACAAATTCAATCAGATGATCATAGTTTAATCATATCTATATAAAACTATCTACCAGTATATATTTCTCCGGTTAAATAATTGTCATCTATTTAAGGTTTATATATTTTTTCACTCAGCTTCCTTCTTCACGTAAGATTTAGAAGTTAACTTCAAAACATTAGGCAGGTGTGTGTGAGTTTGTGCTTTTATAAGAAAATTTTGTCTCCTTTTTTTTGCCTAATTTTCATAGTGCGATTTATGCAGCCAAATTCACGAATAAGGATCACAAGCATTACAGGCTATCAATATTTTTGGAAGTTTCTCTTTCCATTTTGTATGTAATTCCTTTGTATATATTTAATTCAGGATTCTAATGATAAACTGTGAAAATTAGTTGCAGAAGAATTTTATTTGTAAGGTATTTGTGGTATCCATTTGGGGGTAAAGCATGGAGGTTGATGAGTTTGGGGCATTACAAGATCAAAAGTTGTTGTTATACTAAGACATTGCAAAACATTACTGATAAATGGAATATATTTAAAAATGCATTCCAATTAAATTTTAATATAAAGCTACAAATAAAAAATTTTTCCTGATAATAATATAATAAAAAATAATTTAAGTAATTTATAAATACCGGCACCCAAAGCACGTCATTACCACTAGTTATATTATTTGAAAGAGCAAACAGGAAATTTTAATTAGTCTCCACTTCATTAAACATCAAAATAGTATATTGATTTTTCAGATTTCGTGGGATCTTCCCACCTGAGGTTCTTATTTTTGTCAATTATTTGTACCAAAAACACAAAAAAAAATTATAAATAATACATGGAAGCCACTCGCACACAAATTCCATTTAGTAAAATTATTATCCCAAATATAAATAATACATCAGAAAGGTGCACATGCTCTATATTTTATATAAATTCCATCTATTAAAAGTATATGTATTATACATCATCTATATATTTTATATACAAATTCCATTTATTAAAATTATTATCCCAAATATATAAAATTCCATTTATTAAAATTATTAGTCCCCAAATATATATATTATATATATATATATATATATATAATATATAATATATATAATACATCAGCAAGGTGCACATTCTATATATTTTTATACATAATTCCATTTAGCCTAGATGACGCACATCCATATGTCCTGCCTGATCTATAAATACCACCTTTAGCTTTACCACATATCATCGCATACAACAAATATATTTGTCTTCTGAAAATATTTGTCATTTCCAAACACCAAACTTGACATGGCTGCTTTGATTCATGAAGATGAAGTTGTTACCGCAATCTCTCCTGAAAAGATGTTTAAGGTCTTCGTTCTCGAGGATTCTGTAATTATCCCTAAAATTATTCCTGTCATTAGGATTCTGTAATTATCCCTAAAATTATTCCTGTCATTAAGAGTATTGAGATTATTGAAGGAAATGGAGGTCCTGGAACTATTAAGAAGACTACCTTTGTGGAAGGTGATGATTAAACATTTTTAATTATTGTTGTTATAATTAATTATTTATTCAGTTTCGATTAACTGTTATTACTAATATGTTTCTTTCTTATACAAGCAGGTAGTGAAGTTAAGTATGTGAAAAATACAATCGACGCAATAGATAAAGATAATTTCATATATAACTACACTACATTTGAAGGCGCACTATGGAGCGATACAATAGAAAAAGTCTCTTATGAAATAAAACTAGTGTCTGCTCCAAATGGAGGATCCATCGCCAAGAGCATAGGCAAATACTATGCAAAAGGCGACGCTAAGATTGATGAAGAAGTAATCAAGGCTGGGGAACAACAAATATTAGCAATGTTCAAAGTTATTGAAACATACCTCTTGGCAAATCCTGATGCCTATTAATTTAGTTATGTTCCCATTTTAATGGGCTCAATTAATAAAACCTATCGTGTGATATTTTTATTTCTTTTTGTTCTCTTTGGACCAAAACTACATATAGACTACATATAGGTTTTTTTGGTCTTGTCTTCAAAATAACAGTTTGAAAATTGTCAAAATAACAGTTGAAAATTCTGTTGAATTTGTGCAGGAATGCACCATGTCGTCGAAATGTGGGTGTAATTGGCATGAATTTGTAATAAATATATATGAATCATTGGTTTTCCTTTCTGATATTATAGATGTTACACCTTCCTTTAAGTATTTCTTCTTCGTTAATATTGAAAATTTTAATAAATGAGAAAAACAAAATTTTAAAAAGTTTGGCTAGATGTTATGCGTTTTTTTTTTTAATTATTTCTTCTTTTATTAATATTTGAAATTTTAACAAATGAGAAAATCAAAATTTCAAAGAATTTTGTTATACAGCATATATATATAATTCATTTCAACTATGATATTTGATTATAATAATACATTTGATTATTATAACCTATTTCGTGATATTGATTATAATAATTATGATATTGATCGAGTATAATCTATTTATTATAATAATTATGATATTGATTTTTTCGTTGTTAAATAAAGAAAATCCTTCAAAAAAATTAGAAACACAATTATTATTGATACGTCAATGGAATCGCTTCTTTAAGCAACAATCAATTTTTGCATTCAATAACAGTAAGTATTGAAATCTAAACATAGAAGAAACATGTTTAATCATGACAGTGATTCATTTAGAACCTTCCTAAGCTAAGAAATTAAATCACAAAGAACTTATGATGTGGATTCTACATTGGTAAGCTGGGACGGATCATTGGTGTTAATAAGTTAAGGAATAGACCTCACTCTATGAACTAGCTTTTAGGATGAGTTAGGCTTTTCATACTTAATTAGTAAGCATGACTATGGTTTCAAAACCAACTGCTTTTAGGTGGTTTCGGTTTAGAACTGCTGGTTTTAAATCGAAATTAAATAATATATTTTAAATTTTTTAAAATGTTTTTTTAGATTTTGTAACTTGAATAAATAATAATAATAAATATTACTATTAAAAAAATTAAACTAATTTAATAAAAATTCTTACAACTTACTTTAAAATATTACAATAAAACAGAAAAATAAGTTGGGAGTTTTTTTTAAGAATATGTTTTTCACGGTTTCAAACTGAAATCGCCGGTTTCAGTTTCAAAAAATGAAAAACCAAAACTGAACCATAAGTGTACGGTTTCGGTTACTGTTTGGTACCAAAATCGTTGACTGCAGTTTAATACCGGTTTTGACTTGTTCGATTTTGATTCTGTTCTAATTCGAAACCGAACATGGTCATCCCTATTAATCAGTATCACAGCCAAGCCCAGTCTAGTCAATTGCTTACATATAAATAACTTGATAATTTAATTCATAAATTTATTTATGAAATTGAAATGTATATGAGTAGAAAGGGGTTTAATAATATCTATGTATCTAAAATCAATATGTAATTTTAATTGTTGTTTTATTAAAAAATTATTTTTATCTTTAAATTATTGGAAACTCACTCGCTATCTTATAAATAAATGATTTTGAGAAAGACAACCCTGAATGTCATGAAAGCATCCTCTGCTTGTTGTTTAATTTGAGAAAGAGTTAGATTTGATCTTGATGAAGGTGGTTCATAATCTTGTTCTACTATCTTCCACAACCTTAAGCCTTCAAGAAAGTTTTCATTTTTACTACCCAAAACCATAATTCTAACCTTTGAAAACAGATGGTCTTGGGATTGAAGCAGTAGAAGCCAAGCTTGATGTTGCTGTCTTTTTCTTTTAAGAAAAATGTTGATTAGGCCCTTAAGAACTAAAAAACGCTGATACCATTTTGGAGTTTGGGGCAGAGAAGTAAAGGAGAAAATAGCATTTTTTGTAGAACCTTTCAAAACAAATTTTGCAGTGAAGGAAAAACAGACTCTGCAGATTTAAGGCTCTAAGGAGTATGATTATGACACACTATGAAATAGAAGTTTTTGCAATTGGCATTCTTCACACTATGAAATAGAAGTTTTTGCAGTTGGCATTCTTCATTGATCAAATTTCACACTTACGCTTCGTTTGTTATAAATGAATTCAAAATATAAAATTCATTTGTAATAGAATTCATTTGTAAATATATTTTCATATTTTAGTATGTTTAATTTAAAATATATAATTCAATTCAATTCCATGTAATTATATATGGAATAAATTCATAATTAAAAGTTCATTTGCTTTTGTTTCTTAAAATATCATTGAAATAGTAATTTCACAAAAGTAAATAATAAATACCAATGATATTTATGTTATGCTATATAATCTTTTATATTTTTATTAAAATAAAAACAATATTAATAATTATAATATTTAATTATTAATAAATGTAAATTTAACTTGAATCTCTCTCCTCAATAATAAAGAAATGCTGAAAAATATTAAAATAAAAAACACATGTAATAAGAAAATATTTTTCTAGAAAAATAAATTTTTTAAATGGTTTTGGTCAGGTTTGATAAAATAAACAAGTTAAATAAGTATAAAGTTGAAAAGTTGACTTTGTAAGAGGAGAAAGATAGCTGTGTCATAAAAGCTTAATTGCTAGTTTTGTGGAATTCATTTGAAAACTTCACCTATAGTTATGAAATTTGGTATAGTTATGTTCAATTTCATAAAATTGAATTCCAAGAATTGAAATGTATATTTATTTTCATTCTAAATACAAAAAAATGCACTAAAGTCGATAAAATATGGCAGCAACAATGGCTGTGCAGGAATACATTTGGTTGAAGAGTTTGATGGAAGATGTACTTGGTAAGCTTAATTATGCTGTGCAAATTAGTTGTGACAATGCAATTAAACTTGCTTCAAATCCAGTCTTCCATAGACAGACAAAGTATATTGAAGTTCGAACTCTAGATCTCCTACTCTAAATAATAATAATAATAATAATAATAATAATAATAATAGAGTAGTGATATTTGGCTCATGGTGATCTTAGATCATGACAGTTGAAATGACAGATGTAATCTTGAGTGGTTTTAGAGGGATAAATGGGTGGGACAGAAACTTAAATTTGGAGGAAAATGTATGCATTAAATACATATTTGATATGTGCATAAACTGTCACTTTTATTCTTAATATTTTTGGTATTTTTGAGTTGTTTTCAAGCTTAAATCAGTTGGTTGAACAATTTTTATCAATTAGACATGATCTAAGTATATGTGCAAAACTGTCACTTTTAATTCTTAAATATTGTTGTATTTTATTTGTTTGTCAGATTCTATATATCAGTTAGGTGTAACAATTTTTATCAATAGACATTATCTTAAGTTATTTTTTGAAAATACCATAATTGAGGAGTTTTCAGCTATTTGTTAATATTTTGTATTCAGCATTGTTAATATTTTGACCATTGTTTGCTTCTTCAGGCATAACTGAATGTATAGATGTTCAAATTGATTGATTTGTGATTCGTTGGAAAGATATAAAAGGAGCTCTACAAATTTCTAAGAGGAGGAAAGATTCAATTCAGCCTTGAAATTCATCAAAAAGAGCTCTGAATCTAGAACAAATGTCATGAATGAACATGCATGAAGCGATTTTATTGTTTAAGACATATCTAGAGCTCCAAGAGTCAAAATTAGCTCAGACCAGGCCCATTTGAATCTTAGAAGATGGCCCTACAGTTACTATAAAGACAACTAAATGAAGTGAGGTCGTTTTGATTGTCAAAAACGCCATAAAAGATTACGTTTTGAGCAGAAATATCTACTTCAACCTGATTTGGTTTTTAGGTCATATACCTGATTTGGTTTTTAGGTCATATCTTCTGCTGTGTCTGCTGTGAGTGTCTGTTTTGGGCGAGCCTTAGTTTGTTAGAAAGGTGAGAAGGAGATCTGCAAGTTTGTTGAAGAAGTTAGAATCAGATTTGAAAAGGAAGTTGCTGAAAAATGAGAGAGAAATCAGAACAATAAAGATTTCTGTTGACTATTTTTTTAAAGTTCCCAAGTGATTAGAGATTCTTTGGGTCTTTTGAGAGGCTACATATAGTTGCGATTCTGGAGCAGCAAGAGGCATGTTTTTCTTCCCACATATAGTTCATCATCTAATTTGAGATTTTGTTTCGTATTCTTTTGTTTTGGTGATTGAAAGCCATGAATATGAGTGACTAATTTCTTAGTTCATTTCAAGGCATTCAATTTCCAATATGTATATTATTTGTGAGACCTGTTCTTAATTTAAATAATTGTTTCCTTTGAAATATCTGTTTGTTTGCCTTGCAATTTTAAGGTGTTAATTCTATTTGGGTGATTTGCTAAATAAGGCCTATTAGTTAATTATTTTGGTAGGATTAAGTGCTTATTTCAATCTTCATAATCCGTAATTATTGTGAAAGGATTGAGATGTTAGTTAGCAATTAGGTTTTAACTAATTATGTTCCAGAGTTTTCGGTAAGTATCCTGAAAACAATAGGGTGGAAACAATAGGGTTGAATTAAACAATTTATAAATTATTGTTCAAATTTAACTACTTCCTGTCCTTAATGCTTTTATTAGATTGAAAATGATTGCTTAATACCTGCTCATTTAATAATTAGAGTTAATAAGGGTGTTGGGCTCAAATTAATTGTAATAGGGAAGTCGGGGAATTTATCATGCTTGTTGGTAAGTTTCAGTTAAGTATTCAAAGAGTAATTCATTCAAAATTTGTTTGTGATCATTTACACATTGGATTCTAAATTGCCTTGAATTGTAAATTGCCTTGAATTGAATGTTTATTAGATTGAGTTTCAATTTAAGTTTAATAGTCAGTTTTATTTTGATTTCTCTAAGTGAATTTTCAAAAGCCAATCCCCTTTTTTCTCTTTACAAAATATCACAAAATTTAAGATTTCAGTCTCTAGGGTTCGACCTGAATTTATCACTTCTGCAATTAAAATTCAGTAATTAATT